CCTCCTCCTCCTCCTCCTCCTCCTCCTCCTGCTCCTCCTCCTCCGCCTCCTCATCCCCTTCCTCCTCCTCCACCACCTCATCCTCCTCTGCGTACTACTAGTAGCCTTCTGGTTGGTATTAGTATGCTGTGTCTTCGTAGTATGCGTAGTATTAGTATTATTAGTAGTATAATTAGTATTATCAGTAGTATTAGTATTATTGTTGTTATTATTATTAGTATTATTATTAGTAGTAGTAGTAGTATTAGTATTGTTATTAGTATTATTGATATTATTAGTATTATCCGTATTAGTATTTTCATTGTTGATATTATTATTATTGATATTAATACGAACATTATTAATAGTTTCATTAGTTGTATTAGTGGTATTACTATTAGTCTCATTCGTGTTATTATTATCATCAGTATTATTAATATTATGATCGTCATCATCATTATTATGTGTGTTAGTATTATTGTTTTTAAAATAATAATAGCATGATTATTACCATCAGTATTAGCATTAGTATTATTATTGTTGTTAGTATTATTAGTATTATTATTATAAGTAGTAGTAGTATCAGTGGTGGCATTATGTTTATGGTGGTCATTATACTTCGTATTCTTAGCATGCTTGTTCTAACGAGTAGTATTACTAGTATTAGTATTACTAGTAATATCATGTTTCGTAGGATTCTGATTAGTCGCATTATTTTTCTCAGTTGTGTTGTTATTAGTAATACTCGCATTCGTCTTCTTATTGGTAGTATTGTTATTCATTTTCGTCTGAGCATTATCCTTCGCCTTAGTAATCGTAGTATTCTTCTTATTCGTATTGTGCGTGTTCCTCTTTGTATTCTTCGTATTATGATTAGTAGTATGCGTCTTCTTGTTGTCTTACTAGTATTAGTAGCAGTAGCGAACGTATTTGTCTGATTCTTATTATTAATATTAGTCGTGATAGTTGTCCTATCCTTATTAATAATATTACTCTTCGTCTTCTTATTATTCGTAGTATTACTATGTTCATTATGCTAAGTATTCATAATATCCGTACTCTTATTATTATTCTTATTCGTCTTAATATTAGTCTGTTTCGTTTTCTTATTCTTCTTGTTACTATTACTACTATGATGGTTCCCCCTCCTCCTCCTCGTCCTCCTCCTCCTCCTCCTCCTCCTCCTCCTCCTTCTCCTCCCCCTCCCCCTCCCCCTCCTCCTCTTCCTTCTCCCCCTCCTCCTCCTCCTCCTCCTCCTCCTCCTCTTCCTCCTCCTCCTCCTCCTCCTCCTCCTCCTCCTCCTCCTCTTCGTCCTCCTCCTCCTACGTCGTGCGTGCACGGTGGGGGCATTTGTTGTCACTTCGCGGGGGGACCGCTGCACGCATGCGTTCGGCGCAGGTGGGTTGCCGTGCGGCTGCCACTCACTGCACCGTGGGAGCTAGCACCACTCCGCCTTGCGAGCCAGCCAACCACAACGCCGTACACATGCGACGGACACGGCACATCCGCTGAGGTTTCATGGCGTCGGCCAACTCCTTCCTTTCCTGCGGGGTGGCATGCGGCTCGAACACCGTGCCTCGGCCAGCACCTCCGAGCACACCCAGCCCGTCGAGCACCAACGCCGCAGTGTCCTCCTCCTCCTACATCAAATCCACGAGCGTCGCTTCCCCTTCCGCAACCAAAGCGTCGATGATCGCCGCCCCCCAACGACGAGAGCGACTCGATCGCATCGACATCCTGCGGACTGAGGCGAAGCTCACGCACCTCGCGCACGAGATCCGCTAGGTAGTCGGCAGCAGGCCTCAGCATGCAAATTCTCTGCCCCTACAAGACGGCCTGCACTGTGAAATCGGCCTCAGAGTGCGTTGGGGCCGCCGAGCTGGAGCACCCCGCCAGCACTCCACGGCCCGCGGGCTCATGCCCGAGCCCTTCCGGATAAGATCGGCGGCGATCAACGCCTTCCCACGCGTCCGTCTCAGCGAGCATGACGACCCGACGAGCGAACGGCTGCACTCTCCTAGCAGCGCGCGTCGGCAGCAGCGACGCCGCGGGGAGGCTGACCCACGCCGCGGACCCCTTGGGTGCCGAGCCGCTCGGCCAGGCGCACGAACGGGTGCTTGTACCGCGGCTCGCGCTTCGGCACCAGCGCAGCCGCTGGGAGGCCGACCCAAGCCGTGTACTCCAGGAACTCGGCGTTCGCTGACATCGTCTCCCACGAGGAAAATGCGGCAGCCCTGGCGGAGCAGGAAAATACCACCGCACCGCATGTGCACGTCGCAGGCAGGGCCAGCCTGCGGCCTTCGGACGGCACGAAGCTCGGCGCATCGGTGTCGAGAGGTAAAACCAGACGCCATCCTGCCCCGGAGCCGGTGGCCGCGCCGAGGCGCCCAGCCTTCTGCGCTGCCCGGAGCTCCGGCGCCGACGCGTCAGCAATGCGGCCGACGATGGCGGGAACCTTCGCGTGCAGCTCCACGTTGCGCCGCAGGCGCTCAAGCCACGCGGGCTGCCCGCCGCGGACCAGCTGGCGCAGCGCAAAGAGCACCGCGGCCAGGCGGTCAGCCAGGGCAGCACCGCCGACTACCGTTTCCAGCCCCTCCTCTGCGGCCGCCAGCTGCTCCTCTAGCACAGCGGCGCGGGCGAGGGCGCGCTGCACCGCAGCATCGGAAACCGCCCGCGCCCGCCGCGCCGCCTCGCCGCGCTCTGGGCACTGGCGGCGGGGGAACCTCCGTGGGTCCCCACCCATAGCCATCCCATGCGGTCCTGCGAGCGCCCGAAAGCAGGCGAGACACAAGGCATGAGCCAAAATGGCTACGGACGGTGGGGGCATTGGATAAGGAACCCTTACATATGGAATCCAGGGTCTGGAGGCCGGTGTGACTCCAATCGAGACTTGGCCATGGACATCACCGCCGCCCTCATGAGATAAGGAAGCCCCCAGGGTCTGCAGCCTCCTGGGCGCATTCCTTAACCAACGCCCCCACCGTATTGTGCGCGAGATGTTCCAGGATGTCCCTCGATGAGGGGAACAAACAATGACATGAACATAAAAACTCGGTCCGCGCGAACTTCTCGGATCGGCGCTGGGCCCCCCTGGCGGCGCCTCCGGCGCCGCCCCTGGCACGCTGCGCGGGCCAGGGAGGGGGGTCCAGCGCCGATCCGAGAAAACCGCGCGGACCTCTGAGCTCTTATGTTTACGTTAGTGCGTGTTCCCCTGCCGACGGTGCTCGCCGAGGAAAAAATGCACACTCGTCCGAGCGAGGCCAGGGTTGGACATCCCGCGGGGTGCGGCCGCTGGCGGCTCCCGGGGGCTTCCATCCCCGAGGGTGTGGCACGCAGCGGGGCTTCTGCCCCCCAGGGCAAGGAGTGGGCAGCTTGCCTGTCGGGGTGTCCATGGGGCTCCTCGTCGCCACCCCCGTGGTCCATCCCGCTCGCAGCACCCTCTTGTTGTGGTGCCCTCCCTCTGCGAAGGAAGGGTCGTGTCGTCGCGCCCTGGAAACACTCCGCTCTTATCTGCGTCATGTGTCCTTTCCCGTCGTCAGCTGGACTCCTCCTCCTCCTCCTCCTCCTCCTCCTCCTCCTCCTCCTCCTCCTCCTCCTCCTCCTCCTCCTCCTCCACCCGTTCCTCCTCCACGACTCCCTCTTGCTGTCTCCCTCCACCGCCTTCGTTCCTGCATCCCCCTGGTTCTTACCCCCTCCTCATTGCCCCCGCCCCCGCCCCTCCCATGCCCACCTGTTCCCCCCTGGTCGGCTCGGCGGGTGCGGTGCCGAAGGCGCGCTCCTCGTCGTCCGCCAGGTCCTCCTGCAAGGGCTGCACGGCCGCGATGGCCTCCTGCGGGTCCGGGCGAGGACGAGCAGGGAAGGGAGAGCAGAAGCAAGGAGGCCCCGAGGGCGGACTGCGCGGGTCCCGCGGGACGGGGGCCTCGAAGGACGGCCCTCGGTCTCGCCTGCGGGATGGGGGTGGAGGGGGGGGCGGGGAAGGCAGGGAGAGCGGACGCCTGGACGCCCAGACTCCCCATGCCCTGGACGCCACGTGGACTCGAGGCCGAGAGGAAAGGGTGGAGAGGGAAGGGGCAGGGAGGGGGGGGGAGGGGAGGGGGAGAGGGGCGGGGGCGTAGGAAGGCGGAGGAGAGAGAAGGGGAGGGGAGGGGAGGGGGGGGGGGAGGGGAGGGAGGGGAGGGGAGGGAGAGGGGAGGGGGAGGGGAGGGGAGGGGGAGGGGAGGGGAGGGAGAGGGGGAGGGGAGGAGGAGGGGAGGGGGGGGGAGCGTAGGAAGGCGGAGGGGAGAGCAGGGGAGCAGCAAAGGAGTGGACGCAGCACGGGGACGGCGAGTTCCCCCCCCACGCGCAGGCCGCCGCCCGTGCTTAGCTTAGTCAGAAGTCGTTAGTGCCGGAGCTCGCCGACTGCGAGCCGGAGGAATCTGAAGAAGGATGCGAAATATCCGCACGTTCGCACCCCTCCGTTAAAACGACGCGAAGATCGGGACAAAATCGGATCGGGATAACTCAAAATCTCTGAGAATCGGCGGGTTTGGAGGATGTATTGGGCGCCGCGGCCGCTCCAGAGCGTTCCAGAACGCTCTGAGAGCGCTCCGGAACGCTCTGGGAGCGATTTATCCCGATCCTAGCCCTGTTTTATCCGTCCCCTGCTCGCAGGGGTTCATCAGTGTTCCCTGTTAACATACACCCCCTCCCCCAGGCGACCGGCAGCCAACCAGGACCCTTGAGGACCCCATCCTCACCCCCCCCACACCATCCCTGTCAAAACACCATACAACACGCACCCTGCCTCCACATTCGGAGCATGCGCAACCAACCCGATGCGACCCCCCCCCCAGCAATCCCTGTCAAGAAACAGCACAAAGTACACCTTGGGGCAAAGTCTTGAATCATGTTCGCGAGGCCCGCGAACACTTTGCATGTTTTTTGACAGGGACGGCGAGGGCGTCAGTATACTGTCACCATCCCTATCACAAAAAAAAATCCACCTCTCGGATAATTCTGGGCCGTGCACAACCACTCAGCGATCACTGTGAAGTGGTTTTTGACCGGGACGGCGGGGGTGGTGGCGTATGGTCTGCTGTGCGCAGGCCCACCTGACACAATAATGGGCATTGGTTTTCGACAAGGATGGTGGGGGCCGACATGTTTCCCGATGTGTCTTGTCCCGTGCGCAAGCGCACCTGACACACTCCGCACGTGTCCCGAACGTGGCGCATCTGGCGCGGCTGGAGTATGCAGCACACCTGGCGCACGTGGAGCACGTGGCGCGCCTAGCACGCTCGGGCCCAAGCGTCGCGCACATGGGATCGGTTTTGGTTCCCAGTAGCTGCCCATCCAAAGACGAGCGCTGAACATGCTGAGACTCGAGTGTTACTGATGTGTGGGGAGGGCGGGCGGGAGTGAGCTAGACGGCTTACTATCTAGGAGGGTATCTTGACCCCTCCCCAAACCCCTCCCCTGGGTCTGGGAGGGGGGGTACCGGGTAGTTAGAGTTTCAAGATGGGCCCAAGACGGCTCCCAGAGGGCCCCCGGCATCCCAAGACGGCCTGCATGATTGCTCAAGATAGCCGAAGATGGTCCAACATAGCCTCCTACATACCTCCCCGAGAGGCCCCAAGCCAGCCCAAAGACGGTTCCAAGTGCCCTTCGAGCCTTCCTAACCCTCCACGAAGCCAACATCCTTCAAACACCTGAGGAAAAACAGTGTGCTACCTTCTCGTGGTTTCGCTTCCGATGGGCTTTGGAGGCCTCAAGACGGCCACAATATTGCCCAAGAGAGCCCCAAGAGGGGCTTAAGAGCGCCCCAAGATGTGTTGAGGCCCCAGGTGTGGGGGGCCTAGATCGGGACCCCCCTCCTTTGATCGATAGCCTCGAAGATGACCCCCCAAGGGGCGCTCCGGAGCTCCCGAGAGAGCCCCAAGAGAGCCCCAAGAGGGCTCCAGGAGGGCTCCAAGAGGGCCCCAAGAAGACCCCAAAAGGGCCCCAAGACCCCCCAAAAGAGCCCAAAGATGGTTCCGAGAGGCGATTTTGAGGGCTCCTGAGGGGGGGGGGGGGGGGGGGGCGACATCGAGGACCTCTCCTCATGTGATCGATGCCCTCCAAAATGTCCCCAAGATGTCCCCAAGATGTCCCGATGCTCCAAGATAGCCTTCAAGATGGCTCAATGCCCTCCTCCCCTACACGTGTCTTTTATTTCCATTTCCCGTCAGCTCTCATAAGCAGGGCTTCTGAATGCGCTGGTGGGGATACGGGAAGCGTGAAGAATATTCCCCCCCCTTGGGGGGCCCGGGGCCAAAAAAAGTCCCAAGACGAGCCAAGAGTGCCCCAAGAGGCCCCCAAGACGGTCCAAGAGGATCCCGTATTGCCGAACGATCGATCCGAGACGTCTTTACGGCCTCCAGACGACCCAAAAGGGCTGGAAGACGCCCCAAGAGGCTTCGAAGAGCACTCCCAAGAGAGCCCCAAGACACATGCATTGATTTACTAAAATGTTTCCAAGATTTGAGCGTTCTCGCCTTTTCAGCTTCCCGGCGCTCCAAAACGGCCCAAGAGGCTCCAACGATCGCCCCAAGAGGCCCCCAAGAGGGTCCCGAAACGGGGCAAAGAGGGCCCGAAGACAGCCCGCGACGCCTGCAAGACGGCCTAAGAGGGCCCCAAGAGAGCTCCAAAAGGTTGCCCAAACAAGGGAACCAAACGGTCATTTCGAGCCCTCGGCCCCGAGACGCTCCCAGGAGGCCCCAAGAGGCCCCCAAGAGGCCCCCAAGAGGCCCCAAGAGGCCCCCAGGATGCCCCCAGGATGCCCCACAAGATGCTCCCAAGAGGCCTCCAAGATGCTCCCAAGGGGCCCCAAAAAACTGCCCCCCAGAGGCCTCCGAGACCGCTCCGAAAAGACCCCAAACAAAATCCCTGACGACTCTGACCCATGTCAGCGTCGTCGTCGTCGTCGTTGTCGTCGTCGTCCCCCTGCAGGGTCGGCGGCACCGGCCGTAAGGCCTTCGCAATATGCGCACAGACACTCTCCGACGAACTGCGCATCTGCCTTCAAGGAGGGGACCGTGTATAAAGTCGCTGGCCCTCCATGGTGATTTGCGAGCGTTTTCTTATTCGGCGTTTCGACATTGGGCGGAAGGGGGGGTGAGGGGGGGGCTCTGGCTCCGGACCTCTCCTTGATGCGATAATTTGCAGCAGTGCGTCCTATGGGGGAGACTCCACCTGCTCGAAACAGGCGCCAACAACAGCCAAGATCTACTCCATGGGGGGGGAGGGGGGGTGCGAGGGCCCGCGCCGATCGGCAAAACAATGAATAAAAAAACGATCACGAGGGGACAGTGTATAAAGTCGCTGGCCCTCAGTGGTGATTTATTCACGGCCACCCTCCCCCGAGGCCCAGGAACACTCCAGTGGAGGGCGTCTGTGCTTATTTCTTGTGGCAGAGTGCAGCCTCCCGCGCCCCCCAGGGCGACGCGCGGGTGCTGCACCAGCCCGCTGACATCTGCTCTGTGGGTCAGGAGGACGGGGGGGAGAAGAAGGACGACGTCAACGACGACCTCGACGACGAAGCCAACGACGCCGACGAGGAGCAGGAGGAGGAGGATGAAGAGGAGTGAGAGGACGATAGCGACAGCGACAGCGACGGCGGCAAGCGCTCCTGCAGCCGGGGGTGCAGGAGCGCCTCGGCCAGGTCGTGCGCGAACTGCTCGTCGGCCTCCTGGGCCAGCCATGCCATTCCGCTACCTTCGCCGCCGTCGTCGCCCTCGAGCGTTGGCGACGTCGCCATCCTCCCCCTCCTCCTTATCCTCATCGTCCTCCTCC